TGATTAGGGGAAAATCTGGAGCTCTGCTTGGGGAACGGCCAGGGTGTTTGGCAGACATCATCATGAAAATGCTGAGTGCACTTTGGATGGATTAATCCTAAATTCAGTACAGAGGTCCAAATATACATGTGGAAGTCATCAGCAAACAATAGAGTTTTAAAGCCTTGAACTGGATAAAATCACCTAGGGGTAAGTGAAGGAAGAAGAAACGTGATCCACAGAACATGTCTGTATTAAGGGGCTGGTGAGAGGAGGGAAGGCAGCCCAGGAGTGCGTGAGCTGTGCCGATGCCCGAGGACTGACCCCTGGAGACCGCCGCACGCTGTCTTTCAGAGCTTTCTTGGCCAAGGTGTCACTGTCTTCATCTCAGCCTAGCGCCTTAATTTTAAGTTTGTACTAGCTACTTATCTGTCACGAGAATGTAAAGTCTGTTCTGTTTTTCTTTCCAATTAACAAAGGCCATTCTTTTGCGTGTTGAATCTGGCTCACCAAATAGGCTATGCCTATGTTTACAGAGCCCTGTCTCGTGCTCCTGTGAGATGCCCCATAGCAACTAGGACACTGCACGTCTAAGCTGCGGCTTTGGGGAACTCATTTGTGCCTCAGTTTCCCTGTCGGAAAGTAATCACTCATTTAGTTGCCCAGAAAAATTCTGATGTATGCTTGTTTCCCAGTCATCTGTCCAGGACTGTATTTGTCTAATTAAAAAACATTTGTCAATGAAATGCAACATTAGGTGAAATCCTTCCTGTCCTCTGATCAAGGTGCCAAGCCAAGCGGAACATAGTGTATGTGAGAGGGAGATACAAAATCTAAAGGAGAAAAAAAAATGACTCTTGCCTTGTGAGAGCTCACTGAGTGGGAAGCATTATACAAACGTACATGCCATTTTCTTCATTGTTTACTTTGCAGAAAAATGTGTTGATTAATTCAAAAAATAACTTGTATCTTTTTTGTAATAAGCGCTTAAAGGCTTGAAAATAAAGTAACTTGTATATAAAAAAGTGCACCATTACAGCAAGATCCATGTTGGTTTTGTAATGTCACAGCGCAGGGTGTGCCTTCAGTGGTGGAATGTTGGTGGAGGCCAAACAACCTTTTTTTTTTTTTGAATCGATTGTTCCTCTGGATTTCTTTAGAAGCAGGCCACAATTAAAGACAACACAACAGCTTTCCACAATAGATTTCTTCTCCTATTTTTCTGTTAATTAATTATAATCTGTTCAACAAATGGACAGTGATTAATTTTACTCAATAGAAATGCAAACATGTCCACTCAATACTGTGTACACAGTTAGTGGTGACTGTATGCCTAAAGTGTGAGGACCTGAAGTCAAGTCATCCCAGCAACAGGAAATACCCAGGATACAGCAACACTGCAAGCAGGGAGAAGGTGGCTCAGGCTTCCAAGTTCTGTAGCTTTTCTTGATTAAATGCAAGTCGTGTGTGACTGGAAAAAATGCTCAGAACATTAAAATCTAGCACAAGCCTGGGAAATGAGACTCAAGAATTGCATTAAGTGAAATGATTCCAGTCATCCTATCACAAAACCCACCTGCTGCCTGAAAAAGTAAAAGAGGGCATTTTAATAGAACGACTTTTGAAAACTACTGAGAACAAATGCAAGTAAAAAGTGAAACAGACACACACACTCAAGTACTTGAGAAACAGGACGTCTGAGTCAATTGCATAGAGAGTTTAATTCATGTTCCAGATGAATTATGAATATTAGAGAATACAGAATCATAAAATGGCCCTGATGCTTGGTCCTGATTAATTATTTAGTAATGTTCTGAGCCTTAGATCATCCACACAAGTCTGAATTACAGATTAATGTTAAATAGGAAAAAGTGGTGCAAAGGAGAGAAGCCTTGTTAATAATACAAGTAATAGAAATGGCACTAATATGTGAAACTCGTAATATGTATCAGAGTCTTCACTGGAAACTTTCAATGTGTGGTGTTTGACCCGAATAATAACTTCCCATTATAGGTCTTACTTTTTATCATACCACTTCAGATCGCGTCTCGATTTATACTCGTATTTGTATTATATGTTTTGATTAGAGTATAATTGGTATACAGTAAAATGCACATATCTTAGATATTCAGCTTAATGTATTTTCATAGTTGCATACATCTGTGTAACCACCATCCAAAAAATATATAGAATATTGTTATTATCCCAGAAATGTTCCTCCTGCCCTTTCATGTAACAGATCTTTTTTATTCCGATGCTTTGACCATCATGGGGCCTTCGTGACACTGGAATAGTTGCCCTACCTTGGGTTATTTAACTGACTCTTAAGATAGCAAAAAATTTTCCCAGGAGCATGTTTCTCACATGCAGACCAGCTAATCAGAAGCCCCACCTCAGCCTTCTTCTCTGTAGGGCTTTCACAGGGTTCTCACACTTGGTCATTATTCAGTGCTAATCACCCCAAGGCAACTGGGGATAGCCCCGTATCAGAGCCCAGTGAAATTATTAAAACTGGGAATTATAAACCTGTTTATTCTTCCTTGCCTGTTCCTTCCATGGAAACCACAGTAAAGGGCCTTACCCGCGTTTTCCCCCTCTCCTCTGCCTGCCCAATGTCATGGTGTGCCCTGTTCTCTTAAGAACCATGAGTAGCAGTGTTTTCAGTGACAATCACGTCTTGATTTATTGGCCTCATCATACCTGAATATAATAAAACTTACATTTTAAAACACTTTTCTTTTGAGACAGTGTCTCGCTCCATCACCCAGGCTGGAGCACCCAGAGGTTGGCTCACTGCAACCTCTGCCTCCTGGGTTCAAGTGGTTCTCCTGACTCAGCCTCCACCATGCCTGGAAATTTCTTTTTATTTTTAGTAGAGATGGCGTTTTGCCATGTTGGTCAGGCTGGTCTCGAACTCCTGGCCTCAGGTGATCTACCCACCTCAGCCTCCCAAAGTGCTGGGATTATAGGCATGAGCCACTGTGCCCAGCCACATTTTAAAACACTTTACACTCAAATTTCTCACAGCCCTGAGGCAACTGTTATTTCTGTCATCATAGACTACTTTTTTTTTTTTTTTAAATAATTTGACTCAGTTGTCTAGGTGTGGATCATGCTCTTTCTCCTGCTTGGACTTTCTTCAGCTTATTGGACATGCAGATTGAGGTTTGAATCACATTTTGAAAGTTTTTAGGCAGGATTTTTTTTGGACATATTTTCTCTCTTCATGTCTTTCCTCTTGTTCTGACACTACCATTTGACCTGTGTTGAAGCCCTAACTGACAGCCCACAGGTCTCTGAAGCTGTGTTTATTTTTCTTCGTTTTTTTTTCTTTTTGCTGGGCTTAAGAGTGGACCATCTTTACCGAATGATCGTTAAGTTCACTGATTATTTCCTCTGTTAGCTCAAATCTGCTATTGAGTCCCTCCAGTAAATGTCCAATGTATTTATTGCCCTTTCCAATCTAGAATTTTCACTCGCCTTATTTTTGTAATTCTGTCATATGTTAACAGTCTCTCCCTGGTGACCCATCATCGTATTTCCCTTAGCTCTGCCAGCGTAGCTTCCTCCAGTTCTTTGAGGGCATGTCTAGTATCTGCTTCTTAGTCTTTCCCTGTCAAGCCCAACATCTGTACCCTCTCAAAGAGAGTTTCTATTGAATGACGTTTCCCCCATGCCTGGGTCACATTTGCCTGTTTCTTTTAATGTTTCTTTTAATGTTTCCTGTTTCTTTTAAATGTCTGTTGAAACAGCATATTTTAGGTACTATATTGTAGTGACTCTGTATTCTGATACCCCCAGCTGTGTTGTCGCAGTGTTTTGGTCGTTCACTGACTTGCCAAGACCGTCTGCGGCTCGTTTTACCTCCGTAGGGATGGCCTCTGATACTGCCTTCTTTTTCTCTTTCTCTCTCTTTTTTTCAGCCCGTGTTTTCTATCTTTTTATCTTTAAGTCAGGCTTCCTAAGTGTTGCCAGTGGATCAGCACACTTTACCGGTGACAACTGGTATCACAGCTTGTCTGTAAACTGCTTGAGTGACTTAGTTTCCCATCCTGTGCTGTCAGATTTTTAAAACAGGAAGATAAGAAGTCTGTCCCGTGTCCAGCCAGGGACTTTTCGTTCCAAAGACCCTCTCCAGCCTCTTGTGAGTTGGTCCAAGATGAGTGACATCTAAGCCAGGCCCTCTTTGGCTGTCTCTTTTGCTGGATCTTCATGGTTAAATTTCTGGCTGATAAGCTTTTTCTGACTTTCCCCGCTGACATACAGCAACGTTAGCCTCCCAAGATGGTTTGTCACCAGATCTATATTGTTTGAACAATGCACCTGGGATTTTTCCATGGAATTTTGGAGATGTTTTTTCAGGAGGATTTTTCTGTGCTCTGCTCCAAATAAAGTCATCCTGTGTGGTAGTGCTGTAAAGCCATCAGTACTCATGGGAGGCCCTGCTTTCCAGGACAGAATTTACGTGTTATGGAGCTTGGGTTGGGTGTGAGCAACACGTAGCTAAAATGCTGCAGACTCCACTGTTTACAACCAGATTCAATGGATTTTCTTGAGCAAATCCTTTTCAATTTCTTGTGTGTCCTTTGGCCAATATTCATTTTTAATTATAATTGAGAGAGGACTGGGCAAGTTTTTCACACAGTTACTCTGCCACTATAGATTACTTTGTTCTTGGATTTCAGAAAAATAGATTTACACAGGATGCTCTTGTCTGTGTGTGTGTATCTGGCTTCTTTTGACAATTTAAAAAATTTCCCATGTTACTGTGCATATAAAAGTAGCTTTACTTTTTTAAAACTTTTCATTTATAAATAATTTTACCTTCACTTAAAACGTCACTAATACCATAGAGTTACTTCCGTACCCTTTACCGAGAATCTCCCAATTACTATGATCAGAGCTGACTCTATATTAACTATATATTAATAATATGTTAACTAAAGTACAAACCTTATTTGAGCACTGCTTTGAAACCCTTGTTAGACAAGGCTACCATGTGTGATGTCTTGGCGTTGACGTCTGCTGATTTCAAATTCCAGTTGTACTTTGTGGTTGTTTTTTTTTTTTTTTTTTTTTTTTTGGCAAGTCATCCTGTATCATGTTCTGGACATTTTGAGTATGAAATTATGAGACTCTGGTACCTATTTAAATCTATTATTTTAGCAAGAAATAAGCGGGTTAGTTTTCGAGTGCACGTTCTGGCCTACTTTTGAGCTGTTATTTGCAGTTACTTTTACGTTCAAAGCCTGTTCAGCACTATTTTGGCGTGCCCTACTTTGCACTACCCAGAGGCCATTTGTAATTAGGGGGTATTCCATATTCTAGTTCATTTCTCCAAGCTTTTTTTTTCTGTTAATTCTGGTTGGTTTCATTCACTTACTTTGGGTGTATCTCTAGGACTTGATACACAGATGGGAATATGTTTTCTTCCAGATTCTTCCTTTTTGGTTGGCAGTGAAGAGATGGAAGCAGACTCTTTGCTGTCGTTTGCTTAGCTTAGTGTGCAGTGGGCATCACAGGAGGCCTCTGTCCCCCAGTCTCGATGGACCCCAGTAGAGAGGGGGCAGAGTGTCACTTCTGCTCGTGGTAGTGCAAAGTCAGTGTACTCTGCAGTGCTGAGAAAGAGGGAGGGAGGAAGGGAGGAAAGAAGGAAGGAGATAAAATGTCAATGGAGAATTGTCTCAGCTGTGATTCAAACATTGTGATGGATCTGCAGCACAGGAAATGCTAAGAAGACTCATTTTCAACAACAAGCTTTCAGAAAAGCCCCAGTACCATGGATAGCATTCTCCAGGAGGAGGACAACAGAATCAGTCCTTGACAATGCTTAGGAAAAGTGACTCAAAAAGTTGTGAGGTGCTGGAATGGTAGATGGTTGGCTGTGGTGTGTTACCCACAGTGCATGAAAACAGGCCTGTATGTAGTGCTCCCCTCCCTGTGTCCATGTGTTCTCATTGTTCAACACCCGCCTATGAGTGAGAACACGTGGTGTTTGATCTTCTGCTCTTCTGTCAGTTTGCTTAAAATGATGGTTTCCAAGTTCATCCATGTCCCTACAAAGGACACAAACTCATCATTTTTGATGGCTACATAATATTCCATGGTGTCTGTTGGGGGAAAATAGGGGAGGGGCGGTGGGGGTGGAGAGTTGGGGAGAGATAGCAAGGGGAGAGATGCCAGATGTAGGTGATGGGGAGGAAGGCAGCAAATCACACTGCCATGTGTGCACCTATGCAACAATCTTGCATGTCCTTCACATGTATCCCAAAACCTAAAATGCAATAAAATAAATTAAAAAAAAAAAAGAAAACAGGCCTGTAAATGACCTGTCTGCAGTAGAAGTGTGCAGAGTCAGTCCAGACAGACTCAGCAGAGAGTGCACCAGCTAAATACCATGGACCCCAGAAAACAGATCAATGCACAAAATAGAAAACCTTCCAGAGAGTCTGCCTGTGAGTTAAGACCCCATGGAAGAAAGCAGAGCTGAGAAATGAGCTGAGAGAGAGAGAAAGAGACCTGAATTTTTTCTCTCCTTAACCCACACCTGGTTGTGATTTTACTAGTTACACAATCCAGTACATTATATTGGCTTTTTGTTTCTGCTTAAGTTTAGTTTGCATTCGATTGTATGCCTTGCAACTGAAAGTATCCTAACGACACAGCAGTCCCACAAATAAATACCAAAACATGAATCAATAAAACACACAGCGCAACAGGGAAGTGTGCATATAATGTCAATGGGAAATTTACACACAAAATAGATGCAAATAGAAAGTTAACAGAAAATCAATTCCATCTCATTAAAACAGAAAATACAAATGAAAACGGCAGAAGCAGCAGAGAGTTGCCATGTTAAACTATGAGATTAGCAAAAAATAACCGGTTTCAAAGTATCCAGCGATGAGTCTGTGTGGAAAGGGGTCATTTTGTGATAGCATCCATCAATGTCACCTTCGTGAACTTAGCTTGACATCCAGTGCAGTTTCATTTAAGTTTTTCCTGCACCACAGATAACACACCAGATGCTCATGTAAATAAAAGCCGATTCAACCAAATTTTGTTCCAGTGCCACCATTGTTAGCTGCAGTGAAAGGGGTTATTTTGATAAACGAAGTGTGTTGCTGGAGTGTGTGTACGTCTCAGAAAAATGGTCTTCACTGCCAATCATCCTCACTCAACATGCATGCCTGACGTCTTCCTGCTTCCACATCCCATAGTCTAACTCTGATTGGTAAAATATACACACGTAATATCACTCTGCAGAACAATAATCCATCACAGCTACTCAGAGCATGTAATTCAAACAGCTCTTCAAGTTAACACATCAACTTATATTTGGTAAAATGCTTAACAAACTAACCAAGTATTTGCTTTTCATCTCTTCCATTAACAAATGTTAGAAAGTAAAATAATTGAAAAGAACATGTCGCGGTTCTCTTTTATGGTTGGATTTAAATGCAGTGCAAATGTGCGGCCATAAAAGTGCCTGCAGGGCATAAAAACTGTCATAAAGTTAAGGAAATAGGCAAATAATTATTTGAGAACAAAGAATATACTTTATCTCACCTCTTGTGCTAAATTTTTGTGTGCCAAGAATTTATTAAAGAATGTTTACAAACCTGAATGTCAATATCAAGGGTATAAATTTCCCACAATGCTCCAAGTGAGATATTTGTTATTTGTTTTGTTAAACTTTTAAAAAACCCAATGCACATTATGGCAAAATCAGAACAAATATTGAGCAAAACATTTTTAAGTGAATGATGCTTCACAAATAATAACACCTCAAATTGATTTTGCTTCTATGATCTATTGCACCACTGAAATTTGAGAAAACGAACCACTATTGTTTACTGCTAACATAGTTGCTCTGTAGGAATTAAATTTGACTTCATGAGAAATACGTGGTAAACTGTGAACAGCCTGCAATTTACGATATACAAGTGAAGAATGAACAAACCAAAAAAAAGTTTAATATTTTTTCTTTTTCTGAAGCACTAGACTTCAAACTGTTGACATGATCTTGCTTGTTTTGATGAAATACACAAGAACTTACCGGAGTATTATTTAACAGCAAAGCACTCAGTGAGTCCGATAAACCCATAGTGCCCAGCAATGCAAACGCGGCTCCTGGGCCATGGAAGGTGGTTTTGTCAGGGCCGGCCCGGGGAGCCCAGGGGTGCACACAGCCCTCTGGACTCTCAGCACGTCCCTCTCATCTGTGGTGAGTCCGGTCAGAAGCAGATCACACCGTCCTTTGCCTTCTAGGTAGGCCAAGAATGAGAGCTGAAGAAATTCTGTGGCTTTAGGTCTGTGCAGAGAGTTTCTCACCACTTCCAGGAAGTCTGTGGAGTACGTTCTGATGAAAAGACACAATCAGGCGTGGCGTGGTGGCTCACACCTATAATCCCAGCACTTTGGGAGGCTGAGGTGGGTTGATCACTTGAGGTCAAGGGTTTGAGACCAGCCTGGCCAACATGGGGCAACGCCGTCTCTACTAAAGACGCAGAAATCAGCCAGGCGTGGTGGCGTGTGCCTGTAATCTCAGCACCTGAGAAGCTGAGGCAGGAGACTCACTTGGGCCTGGGAGGCAGAAGTTACAGTGAGCCAAGATGGTGCCACTGCACTCCAACCTCCAGCCTGCGCGACAGAGCGAGACTCCATCTCAGAAAAAAAAAAAAAAAAGACACAATCCGAAATCCCTGGTATTACAAATGGCGCCTGATGCAGATGTGGAGACCAAGAATTCACATGCCATTCAGCAGCCTTCGTAAAGTAGAAAAGTAGCTTCTCTTTTAATATTTTATAGACTTTATTATAGTTTTATTATACTTATTAAGTAATATGCTGTTACAGGAAATGGGTTTACATAAATGGCATCTAGACAACTTTAAATCTGAATGCTAAGAAATCAGAGAAGCTCCCTCAGTCCCAGGAGACAGATTGTTATGAGGAAAAGGGAGAGAAATAGTATTTTCTTTTCACATTTTAACTTTGGTTTTTGGGTGTAAACACAACCAGAACCGGACCAGGCTTTGATTCTCATGCCCACCGTCGTCATTTTTAAGTCTTTGTTTGAAACTTGGTGCCACGATCTCAGCCCATTCCGTTGGCAATGTTGTTCACTAAGCACGTCGCTCAACCGGCGTGAACTTAGGAGAGGAGCAGCGTAGTGTGGACCCTGTCCAAGCTCTGGCTCCACACACAGACTAGCAGCTTGGATGAGAGTCATGTGCTGGAATTTGGTGTGAAAAATTCTCAGTCCTAGCCCATACAGTTGCTGTGACATGTACCACTGGCTTTACAATTTTTTAATAAACTTTGTGTTGTAGAATCGTTTCCAGTTTATGGAAACATTGTGAAGATAGCACCGCATTCCTGCAACCCGTTATCCCAACTGTTAATGTCTTACATTTGGTACCATACATTTATGAAGATTGCAGTGTTGATGTATGAACTAACCTCCACGCCTCATTCACATTTCCATCCTTCTCATCTGCTCCTCTTTCTCCATGCTGGGATCTAGTCCAGGTACCACACTGTAACATTTAGCTGGCATGTCCTCCTAGGCTCTGCTTGGCAACTGCCTTTTCTCAGACTTACATTGTTTTTGATGACCCCGATATTTTTGGGGATAAGTGGTCACATGTTTTTCAGAATGCACCTCCGTTGGGAAATGTGCATGTTTTGGTTTTCCATAGACTGGGGCTGTGTGTTTTTGAGAGGAAGCCCGCATAGGTCAAGTACAGTTCTCATGATACAACCAATGCAACTTGAAGGCCTTCAATGATGGCCTTCATCCCCCGGCTGAGACAGTGTCGGCCATGTTGCTTCCCTGCACCGTTTTTCCCTTCTCCATGAAATACTCTGCATACTTCAGAAGGACATCGCTATGCACAACTCACGCTTAGGAACTTGGGCCTTATTCTACGCTTCCTGGAGGGAAAACTGCATATATCATTTGGAATTCTGAAAGGTGAATTTCTCTTATTTCTCTCGTGCATTAGTTGACTCAGTCATTTGTTTCTGTCAGTAGAGGCTCCTAGATGTTTATCTTATGCTCTGGATTATAACCCAACATTACTGTATTTATTTTGTGATTCAAATCTCTCCAGCGTTGGCCATTGGGGGCACATTCAGCTAGTTCCTTTGTTCCTTTGACATACCCAGCATGATTATATTTAATTGCATTTTCTTTCTTACAAGATGCTCCACACTTGTATTCTGTCTTTTCTCCAATCCTAGAACTAGCCATTTCTAGGAGCCTTAGTTCCTTTCAGTAGAGAATGCTGTTAGAAATCAGGATGTGGGTGTGAAAAAAAAAAGTTCCTTTATACTGGAGTGCTGTTGCTTCTAAGCCCTCCCAGCTTCCAAAGCAAGAGACTACATGTATGTGCATACATACAGTATATATATATATGTACATACATATACATGATCCTACACACATACACACACACATATTTCTCTATATGCCCATCTATGTATCTATATTTAATCAGTTAAAGCGTGGCTCATTATCGTCTCCTCCCTTGTTTATCTGTAAACTTTTGCTTCAACAGGCAGAATCCTGGCTTTCCATTTACCACCCATTTGCTTAATTTTTTTCAAGGCCAGGAAAGGTGTAGTGTTTTCAGATATCACCCATGAAGCTGCAATCCACTCTTGAATGTATCTTCTTTTTAACACATTCAATCCTTTCTGTTGAACGTATACTGTGGGGTGGCATCTTCTGCTTCTCACAAGATAGAATAGAAAGGAACAGAAAGGCAGCCCTGCTGATACCTTGATTTCAGCCCAGTAAGGCCTGTGCCAGGCTTTTACCTGCAAACCTGTAAGATAATAAATTAGCATTATTGGATTAGGGTCAGGAGTTCAGCCTATTTGAACCTATATGTATCTTTTAGTCCAAAGCGAATCTCTTGTGGACAGCATGTAGTCTTATCATGTTGTTCTTGTTTTAATCCATTCTGCCAATCTGTGCCTTTCAATGATATGATTTTGTTTGTTAATATTTAATGTAATTAAAGATAAGATTTACAGCTGGTGTTTTTACATTTTTTTCTGTATGTCTTAGGTTATTTTTGTTCCTCTCACTGCCTTTTTGTGGATTAGATCTGTGTTTTCTAAAGTACACCTTAATTCCCTTACTGTTTCTTTTACTACATGAAAAAATTATGCTCTCAGTGTTCTCCCTGATTATAATAATCAGCATAAAACAATCTAGTTCAAATTAATCTTCACTTTATTTTAATAGTTTATGGAAATACTGCTTCAAAGTTTATCCCCTTTTATACTTGTTATTTTCTTATAAGTTACATATTACCTATTTATGTATCATAAGTATATAAGCACAGTTTAATAACTTTTGGTTTATTCAGTTGTATTTTGAATCCTAAGGAAGTAGAAAATTTTTATTAAAGTACATTGGCATGGTATTTTATATTTACCTGTAATTACATTTACCAGGGCTCTTTATTTGCTGTGTGCCTTCTGACTGCTGTCTATCCACTGTTTGTCTTTTTCATTTTAGCCAAAAGACTCTTCAGAATTTCTTGTAAAGCAGGTATGTTAATGATGGATGCTCTCAGTTTTTTAAAATCTGGAAATGTCTTCACTTCCCCTTATTTTCTGAAGGATAATTGTACTAAATACAAAATTCTTGGTTGACAATCATTTTCTTAGAACAGTGTTAAATATATCATCCCACTGCCTTTTGACTTCCATGATTTTTCAGGAGAAGTCAGCCTTTGATCTTGCTGAGCGCCTGTACTGTGAGATTTTTTTTTCTTGCTGCTTTGGAGAGTTTCTCTTTGTCATTGTCTTCTCTCAGCTTGACTGCTGTACGTTTAGGTGTGGAGTTCACTGGATTTTTTATTTTATTTGGAACTTGTCAGGCCTCTTGGATATGCTGATTAACTTGTTATCATGTTCAGAAAGTATGAGGCCCCTCTTTCTTCCAGCTAGCTTTGTGAACTTCCCCCTCCCCTCTCCTTCTGGGGCTCCCATTATGCATCTGTTTGTACAACTGGTGGTGTCTCCCAGTCTCTGGGGCTCTGTTCATTTTTCTTATTCTTTTTATCTGTTTCCCCAGACTGGTAATCTCAATTGACCTATCTTAAATTTTACATTTCTCTGGTTCTTTATTCTGTTAGATAAATCTGCTGTTGAATCCTTCTTGTGCATTTTCATTTGCTGTGTTACACTTTTCAGTCTCAGAATGTCTGTTTGGTTCTTGTGTGTAATTTATGTCTTTTTATTGTAATACCTCATTTGATGAGACTTGAACACTTGTACATATTAACTAGCTAATTCTAAAGTGTAGCAGGAAAGGCAAAACGACTATAATATCTAAAACAATTTTGGAAAAAAAGAGCTAAGCTTGAAGACTGGCACTACCTAATTTTACCGATTACTGTAAAGCTACAGTAATCATGACAGTCTTATTGTCAATAGTGTAGATATATAGATCTGTGGAACAGAACTGAGAGTCTAGAAGTTAAACCATACTAATAGAGTCATCTGAATTTCAACAAAAGTTCAAGATAAAAGATAGTCTTTCCAACAAACAGTCCTGTAAGTATTGGATATCCATAATTTAAAAAATGAACTTAGATACATACCTAGCACCTTACAAGAGTAACTACAAAGGGATTATGACCTAAATGTAAACCTTTAATGTGTCTAGAGGAAAATATGGGGCAAATTCTGCTTCATTTGGGTTGGGCAAGCATTTCTTAGATACTGCACCAAAAACATGACCTATAAATGGAAAGACGAAGAATAAATGGGACTTTTTTTGTGACAGTGTCTCACTCTGTCACCCAGGTTGGAGTACAGTGGCACGACTGTGGCTGACTGCAGCCTCCACCTCCCAGGCTCAAGGAATCCTCCCACCTCAGCCTCCCAAGTAGCTGAGACTACAAGTGCTCATCACCACGCCTGGCTCAGTTTGGTATTTTTTTGTAGAGACAGGGCTTCGACATGTTGCCCAGGCTGGTCTTGAACCCCCGGGCTCAAAGAAACTGCCTATCTTGGCCTCCCAAAGTGCTAGGACTACAGGCATGAGCCAACATGCTCAGCCTGGCATGCCCAGCCTAACTTACTAAAGTCTTTTGTTCTGCCATAGATTTTGTTAAGAGATTATAAGGACAAATTACATCCTAGGAGAAAATCATCGCAAATTTCATTTGAACAGAGTTTGTATCCAGAGTATGTAAGGAACACTCAAAAGTCAACAATAGGAAAAAAAAAAAAAACCCAATAAACAATGGTAAAAGATGTAAACAGATACTTTCCCAAAAAAAGGTACATAGATGTCAGATATGCACATGAAAATATGCTCAACATGATTAATCATTAGAGAGTTGTGAATTAAAACTATAGTGCAATACCAATACACACGTATTAGAATGTCTTGAACAATTGCAGAATAAATGCTGGTGAGGATGTGGTGGAACAATGGAACTCTTACACATTTCCTCTGGAAAGCAAATGGTTACACCTCTACAGCACAATAGAAGACACTGTATAATTAACAGTATATCCGGTTACACAAAGTAGAATGTACACCTCCTGTATTATCAGCATTCTCACTGCTGGAAACTTATATGTCACACACACGCAGACGTGTACATAAAAAGTGAGAGCTGCTTTATTCATAACTGCCAAAATTTGAAAGTCCCCAGATTTCCTTCAACTGATTGACAAACTGCTTTACATGCATGTAATGAAATGATTAAAAACACCCTTGATTAATGCAACAAAAATAGATGAATATAAAAATGAAAGATCAAAAGCTATATATTATATGATTTTATTCATATGACTCTGAGAAAGGCAAAATTATAGGAGAAAAAGAGATTGCTGGTTGCCTGAGGCTGGAAAATGGGAAGAGGTATAATCAGTGAGGAGGTTCCATGGGAAAATTTGGGGAGTGATGGTTTCACAGTGGGGAACACAAGGCTGTGCATTTGTCAATCCCGACAGAACTGTACAACAGAAAAGTATGTTTTTGCTGTACATAAACTTCTATAAGATCTGCCAGGCTGTGAGCACAGAGATGAAGTTCATACTCGGACAAATGAATCTGCCTGTGTTAGGAATGAAGCTCACAGTTACACAGAAGGGGGTGTGCAGAGAGATGGCCAGAGTTGCAATATGCTGACTTGATTTTGTAAAGCTAAAGATCAGAACTGCAATTTTAGTTTTGACTATTCTGTTTATTTCTATCATCTTGATACGAAGGGAAATGATATCTATGGACATCCACATTTCTCTAACAATTTGTTATTTGATCTAGAACCTGACATTTCTCTCTATTTTCTGATTTGCCGTGTCCAACTGCCTCTACTTGGCTTTCAGGCAATATTCACCAGCATTAGGACCCACCTGACGTCATAAACTTTAGACTCTCATAACTTCTCTCAGTTCATTCATTTTGCCCCCTTTACATGCAGCACGGCCCTTCCGCTGCCAGATCAGAGCATATTCCCTTGAAGTTTTTAATTCACCTTGCTCTGAAATTTGCCTCCACCTGCTCATCTATGGCCTCTCCCTGCCCATTTCTGAACTCTCCTCCGGCCTCCTGCTTCTGCTGATGGTGACTGGCGTGTAGCTAACACGAAGAGAGGGTTTTATGTGCAGGTGTTTTTCCTGGTGTTATAGTAGCACACGTAATCCTCATCTCACATTTCAAGGCACTTTCTTCTCTGGAATTTTACGGTATGATCTATACAGTTTATAAACGTGGGTCAGAGACTTCATGTCCATATCATATATATGTCAAAGTCATTTATTAAGAAGCCCGGGAGTGACCTTTACAGGAAAAACAGTTTCTGGATGGTAAGGCCTTACGTTGTGACTGCTGCATACATACTTAAAGATGATATGTTTCAATTTGTAAGTTTTCAGAGGTGGAGCTGAAGAACCAGGTAATATGTTATTGCCATACTGAAAACCATGCTTATTACATTGACTTATTTTCTCTCATATGACATATTGCACTTTTAATTTTTAAATATGTATTGGGAAATCATGAATATATGTATTTACATATGTGTTTGTGTGTGTGTGTGTATGTGTGTGTCTGAAAATTATGATACTTGCTTTGAAGAAACTATTAATGTCTGCCTATCTTGTTTAAAAAAAATAATTTGAGCTGAAAATCACAAATATGTGCTGATTTTCTACCAATGTGGTGCAGTGGGAGTGTAGAAGGTAAGGTTTCTGAATTCAAAGAATTCTTTCCATATGTTTGGGTGGGGGGATGCCAAGCGGGTGCACACACACACACACACACACCCTCTACAGCACAGTAAAAGACATTGTATAATTAAGATTTGCACTGATGAAGGTGACTGCCAAAAATATATATATATATTTGAGTTCAGAAAAGGGTTTGCTGACTGGCCAATGTGTACTGACTATTTGCTGAATTTTTCCAAAAACAGAACGCAGTAGTCCTTGGACTACAGATAAAATCTTCATGCTCAGAGGTAAAAAAAAAAAAAAAGGCAGCTCAGACAGAAGACACACTATTAGTAAAAGCCTAGAAGGGGAAGTTTGCGTGGCAAGGCAGGGCGTGCTTGGACCCCTCACAGCGAGGCAGCAATTTGTTTTCTACATTGTGAGCTAAAGCTTCCCACCAACAGAGCAATTGTGTATGTGCTGTAGTCTTAACTTTGAAAATTTAGAGTGACAGACCTTTGCTCTCATCCTCGGACCTAAAGGAAAAGAGAACAATAGGCTCATAAGCGAAAACAATGGCATAGTCCCTCGTCAGCTAAAATGTGTTATTTATTACCTAAAATTATAGTAAGTTGGTTTATTAATAACGGGCTTCCTACTGAACACTTCCTCTGAGTCCATTCAGGAAGACTTTTAGAAGACCCTGAAAACAAAATGGAGTGATTCAACTAAAAATAGAAAAATAAATGGATGTCAGTTCTGCCCATTGAAACAGAGGGAAAAAAAGGCCCTCTGGTTGCTATAGATGTGAGCACCTGCTTTCTCTACCCGACTCAACCTGTGCTTAAGATGCCTAATCAGGGCCTCCATTCCCTGTGGTTAATCAGTATTCAAGTACCTTATTTAATTACATGGCAACGATTCCTTTGTAATTCCTTTGCTTTCCGCAGACATACCTAGTAACCTTTGTTCAAACCATAGTGCGTTTCCAATTAATATATCAAAAGGCGCAAGCTTAAACTTTGACATTCGTAGAAACCTTTGACTTAGAAGTATTTTTTTCTAAAGAGACTAATTACCATGCTTGACCTTGGGACTCTTAGGAAGGAGAGTATTTTATTTTAGATTCAACTGAAACCACTGTCTGTACCTTATTTCAGTGGCTGACTCTCAGCATTTGGTCCATTGTGTTAAAATGTCTTCAATTTCCTACCTCAAGACTATTAAAGTTATTTCCTCTGTGTCATGACAGTAGACCCAGATCTTCAAACAGAGACAGAAAAGGCTGGTGTTGAGTCAGAAGTTAAATACCTGCATTTTACTGAGATCCTCTTTGGAAACTTCAGCCCAGAACAGATGAATCTGGGTTTGCTTGCTGGTGAAATATAAGCAGGAGTGATATTCTTGTATATATCCGTCTATGAGGGTGATAGAAGCAGGTGTTATATTCTTGTATATATCAGTCTATCAGTCTAAGCAGGAGAGATATTCTTGTATATATCCGTCTATGAGGGTAATCAAAACTGGCGTCTATTGTATGCTCCTTTAATTTTTGTTTTTATTCTCTATTTTCAAGGCTACATATAAATTTTAAATCTTTTATCACTTTGCTATGAAGGTATTTGTCTGAAGCTAATGCCTAATTTTTCAAATGATGTTTTTCTTCTCTACAAAAACCAGATATTGAGAGTTTTAACATTCCTTTTTCCTCCATCTAACAATGGGTAGTTATTAGAACATTAAAATGAAGACTCACCATTATATTTTTTAAACGTTCTTTCAGGGCCTTCTTTCTTAAACTATGTTGTGAGAATAAATAAATCAATTTGAGAGTTTTACAATTTTAGATTTTTTGCAAGATACCTCATATTTTGCATTTATTTTGCCGTGCTTTAGCAAAGCATTTTGCAATGATGTAAGAAAGTTTCCAGTTAATTTATCTGCATTAAAATACCATCTTAAAATGACTGAAACGCCTTCCTTATTCATTGAGTGACATACCATTCCTTGATATTAAAAATTGATTAGTTCCTTTCACTTTATTATCCTTCCATTCACGTTTGTTTATTCATTTTAAATGCTATTTAGGAAAGCACTTAGTTTTCTTAGAACTAATCATGTAGGGGAGACAAGCCCAGGCTTCTAAATGAGTTTAGAACTGTATAACCCCATTATTGCTCCCCACTAGATGAGGATGTGCAGATTTTGTGCCTTTCCACAATAGTTACATGTGGAGTGTTCCAAGCTCCAGATGAGCTTATCAGACTGAGAGGAAATTGACTGGCGCAAAGCGAACTTCCTCGTCTAAATTTCATTGGTGTTATTGTCATTGTCTATGGCTGGTTGATTTAATGTGCATCCAGTGTCGGGCCGTGTGTCCTCTAAGGAAGGAAGATGGATTTGACCTCAGGGCTGGCTCACTCGACTGCAGAATCCACAATGGGAGATTCGTCTTTCTTTGTAGGCACATCCCTGGGAAAGTACCACATCCAAAGGGAAATTAAATATTTTCTTTCCCATTCTTTATCTTCGTGGGTACTCCTGGAAGATTCTTGGTGGCTTCGTGATTGAGATGAGAGCCACAGTCCACACCTCTGACACTGGAACCCGTGATTCCTCGGCTCTCAGCTGCCTGCCTGTGATGGGCACAGACAGAACAGGTTGCTGACGTGACGCCACAGAAAGAAGTTTGGACTGCAGGTTCAGCTGCTAATTGTTGGATTTAAAAAAAAATAAGTGGACAACATGAAGACTTAACTATTTGATAACACCCAAAATATTAGTTCTGGCCATTCTCACGGAATCACTGATCAGTCTCTGCCCAGGAAGAGGACAAGAGGCTGACAAGTACCATCTGCTCCCTGGGAAGAGGCACAGGGGCAGCCTCACTCATCAGAAAACCATCCGGCTGTGAGCACAAAGCTGTCATCCTCATCGGTGCGCAGCCACGCCCTGCTCGCCTTTCGTCCTGACCCATTGTTCTTAGGGAGGACGCCAGCGTACCTTCTGTGGGCCTGTGTCCACTGGAATGTCCGCCTCATGTCTCTCGGCTCCCTCTCTGCCTCTGTGTTGTCACAGGCATTTTCATCCATTCTTCTAGAATATTCTTGTCCACCTTAGTTTTGTTTGTTTTTCTCGTCTACCTTCTCAGCTCCTAATATGATCAGATGATCCCTTCTGAGAGTGTATTTTTAAAAAGTGGGTCACCAAGCACCCAGTCTTGGCAGAGCAGTTTATAATTTCTAAAGGAGACACTAAAGTTCTACTCATAGCTTCCATGGAAGGAGAGTTTATTTCCCAAGCTTGAAATGGGTGACCTTTGAATAGGTATCAACTTGTTTTTAGACCATCAACAATAAAATTACTGGATTTGCTGTTATTGTATAATGAAACATGGGTCTAATCCTGTTCGTAAAATGAGTTCCCCTGTAGATGCTACCTTTTCATACATGATCAAGTAAGAGCATTCTATAAATGTCCAGTGCCGTCCTCCCAGGCCTGCAAGGCCTCCGACTTCCTCAGCCTGGTCCAGATGCGATTGCTGCTGTCTGGTCCCGTGTGTAAGAGCCCACTTCACTCCCGTGGATTTGGGCTGGCCTCCCAGCTGCTGCCAGACCCTCCCGTGGGGCTTGAGAGGATGCTGCGTTCTGCTCACCCTGCTCTGTCCTCATATCTTGCCTTGCTGCAGCCCTTTTGGCCCCAAAGTAGGCCCTTTCATTGATTCTGGAAAATTCTGAATCCATCCCTCTAAAGCAGAGAGTTCTCCTGGGTTTCATGGATCCCCTCTTCCGCAAGTAATCCATGGACAGAATTTGGAGAGAATCTTTGAACTTAGGTGTAAAGAGAATTTCATTTTTATTTCCACTAACCTCTAACTGAAATTTAGCATGATTTCCAATTTTGAGTGAAGCACAAACTACAGCAATTCATTAATAAAAGTCACAGACTTTCTAACATCATATTACAATAATTGCAGGAATTTCAAAGTGCCATTTTCATTCCTTACTACATCAAAATTCTAGTATTTAGCTCACTGGTAGATGTTTTATTTAATGCATCACCGGAGAGGCGCATACGTTACTGGCTTAGAAAAGTTTATTAGTAGGATTATCGTTTACATCAGTGTGATTGAATTCCTTAACTACCGTATGTATTTTATTTTATTCCATTAAAAACCAGGGCTCTCTGGGCATCATCAGATTGCAAAAAGGCCCCAAGGTACAAATGAAATTTAAGCTTCTCATCCCTGAAGTATTTCACAGGTACTTGAATATTTTCAGGCATTATCCAAAACAATTTCAACATAGATTCTGGGAAAGGAAAAAACTTCTTTCATACGTTTTCAGATAATTACGTAGATATTTACATTTCTCCCTCTCTTGCAGGTATTTTACTCCCTCACCCTGTAACATTCTAACTTTATTTAACGTCTCCTTGTAAATAGCACCAGGTCCATGTCTTGACCTTCCTCCATGCTCTCGTGACCACGGTTGGCTTGTCCAGCTGGACTCTAGATTGACTGTTCTTTAAGGAGCTGTACAATGCCAAGACTCATAAAACTTAAGACGAGAAAATATCCCATATGGAATTTACAAATTCTTCTTCATCATTGCGTGTTCATTATTGACCAAATAAAAATAAGCAAAGAATAACTATTTTTTCAGAGAGGAGAATCATGTCTTTTCAACATATTTATTCCCTTGAATGAAATCTTAATATATCTGTGTCTGCCTTGCTGCAATTAGCTCCAAGCCCAAACACTGAGACAAGAGAATTTTTATGCTGTCAGGGATTTTTAAAAACATAGCTGGTAACCCCATTATTACATTGATAATTTTATTTTAAAATAGTCATACAGAAAAAGGGCAGTGCTTCCTAAAGAAGAAACAACACGGAGTGGTGAAATTTTAGGCATTAATTTAAGTACTTACAATTGAATGAATAATACTCAGGCCAACCTCTCTTCCAATCTACTTGCAGAAGCCGTCTAACCAAAGAAAATTTGTGGCTGTGATGGGGTTTCTGAATCTGATGATAGTGGACCATATCATTCAGATAAACCTCTCAAGACAGACAAAAACATGCTTGAATGTTTTAGAAAGCTAACAAGCTATTGAAGACTTGAGGGGCCAAGTTCAGGGAAAGGAAAAAACATCAGAAAGATGGTCATTTGGGGCCAGCCCTCCTCTGTGGATATCAGTAAGTTAAGCATCTGGGAGGGTTGTGAGCTAAGGAGATCTTTTGACAGCCTTGTGAATCCAAGGACAGAATGAGTCTAAGGCCCACCGAGGGGTCAGCCTGGCAAACACCACTTAGTTGGGGTAGGAATCCCCGAGAAATATATCCTGTGAGTAAGGATAAACTAGAGACATCCCAGCCCTTCCAGAATCAGAAGCCCAGCAACAAATCACGTCAATCTTAAAACCAGATTAAGCGGATTCAGGAGAGCTTGTGTCCTAGTTACCCACAATGAAATGCAAATCCGCTAAAGCACTTTTGTCTGAAGTCCCAAATTACGTTTGTAAATTTTCATATTCAATATCCGAAGTTAATAGAAATTGCACAGACAGAGAAGGAGAAAATAAGCAACTAAGAGGAGGAAAGCAAGAAATAGAAGCAGACTCACAGGGGTCATCGCGATGGGATGCCCACACCTGCCACTGGCCCTTTCCTTTCCTCCTCCTGCCCATACATGGGGTCAGCTGAGCGTCCCACACAGGTCTGGAGTGTGTGCCTCTGTGATCATCTTGGGGTCTTGGGGTCCAGCCTGTGAGATAAAGCAATTATCAATCAGACTGCCAAAGAACCATCACTAGAACGTTCAAGTAAGTAAAAGATAAGACATATAATTTGAACAGTGAACTAGAAATACTAAAGAGGAAGTAAATTATACAAGAAAAAAATTAAGACTGAAATTTAGGAACTCTGAAGGGAGAATTAAGTAGAAGATTGGCCAGAATAAAATGACCAAAATAAAGTGTTGAAAAGTTAAAGGATGGAAACTGTAGAAGCAGAGGTGCAATAAGGCAATGCTTTTTTACCAAAGAGCTGATACAGGCGACTAGATTTCAGAAAAAGGAAGAAGATGAGGGAAACGGAGTGTTGGAAGCAGTGAGAGCTGAGAAATTTTCAAAACGGATGAAAGACACCAAATCAGAAATTCCAAACCCCTATAAAGTCCAATCAGGGTGAATAAGAACATGATTAAAAGCCACTTAAACACACCTAAGTAATCAGCTGAAAACCAGACCCAACAAAATTCTTGAAAGCACCTAGAGACAAAACACTAATTTCCTTCCAAGGTGTAGTCATTACATTGAGAGTTACTTCTCAACTCAGAAGATGGAATTCAGAAGACAACAGAGTGAATTCAAAATGCTTTCACAGACTCCCGCTGGGCACAGTGGCTCATGCCTGTAATCCCAGCACTTTGGGAGGCCGAGGTGGACGGATCGGGAGGGCAGGAGAGCGAGACCATCCTGGCCAACATGGTGAAACCCCGTCTCTACAAAAGTACAAAATTAGCCGGCCGTGGTGGCACATGCTTATACTCCCAGCCGCTCAGGACGCTGAGGCAGGAGAATGGCTTGAACCCGGGAAGCACAGGTTTCAGTGAGCCGAGGTCGCACCATTGTGCTCCAGCCTGGTGATAGAGCAAGACTCCATCTTAAAAAAAGAGAACTCCTGTCAGGCCTCCTACCCTGGGAGTCTGTGTGCTTTGGAGTGCTTTCTCCAAAACGTTTAAGTCCCTCTCTTGTACCCGGTTGGCTGGGCTGGCAGTGCCTACCTTGAAATTGTCCAGGTCTCTCCCTGGCTGTCTCACTGGGCTCACTGAGCCCGGGGTGCACTGCCTGGCCCCTAGCTCTTTGCTTTCTGACCTCCTGCCTATACATGGGGTCAACTGGATGCCCCACGTAGGTCTGGAGCTTGTGCCTATGTGATCATCGTGGGGCCCTGGAGCCCTGGGCCTGGCCGGGTCTGGGAGGGCTGTCTGCTGAGTGGACACTTTCTGCTTACTGGCATGAGCTTGGGCCACAAAAATGATGCTGGCACAGGGGCAGTAGTAGGTATTCTTTTCTTGGGGCACCCACTGCCACTGGCCCTCAGTATGATGGCTTCCCCCGCTTGGCGCCGCGTGACAGATGGTCATCCAGGGGGGCCGTGCCTATCTTCTCTGAGGGCTTTTGAGACCACTGCCCAGCAAAGGCAACAAACCCTGCCCATCAGTGCCTCTCCTGACCCTGGTGAGGGGCCCTGGTGCTCTTGGCCTGTCTCAGCCATGTGGGATGCAGGAGGCCCATTTTTTGTGTCAATGGCATGGCTCTTCCTGCTCTGCCATGCCCCCTAGGTTCTTACACTGGTATGTTCTCGCAAGGCAGGGTGTGGTTTGCATCAAAACAGAGTCAGGAAGAGCTAAGATGCTGTGAGAGCAGAAGAGCAAGTGTGGTGTTGATAGAATGAGCAAATGGACAGACCGAACGGAGTGGAGATCCCAAAGACGCGATGATGCTTCCCCAGAAACCCGGCGTTGTGAAGCTTGTGTTCAAAACATGGTGAAAGGATGCACTGTTTGCCTATCACTGTAGGACATTACTTTCTTCTGTATAGAACGTAAAATAAAATAAGATCCCTCTGCACATTACCTAGACATCAATTTCAGGTTGATTAAAAACGTAAATGTAAATAAAATTGAAACATTCCTAAACAGATATCTCTATGACCATTACATTGATGGTCAGGACATAATGAGGTGTTGCTCAGCCTTGTTTGTTATTAAAGAAATAATTACAAATTTATACAGAACTGAGATGGCATGTCATGCAGGTTAGAATGGAAACATTTTAAAGATCCCAGTAAATATGAAGTTTTTGTTAAAAGTGTGGGGAATCAAGGATTGCTTTACACTGACAGTTGGAAAATCACTGAGGACGATTATTAAAGTTGACAGTGTACATCCTTTATGTCCAAACAATTCCACTCTTAGAATCTTACGCAAGTAAAGTTTCACTTACGCATTCAAAAAGACACTTCTATAAATGTTCATTGCTTACATGTTGTGCTAGTGAAGAATTGATGAGAATCCAAACGTTCATCTGTAGGTGAACTGATAGCAATGTTTGATTTTTTCTGTGTGTGTGTGCGTGTGCATGTGTGCGTGTGCACATGTGCGTGTGTGTGCGTATGCGTGTGTTTGTGTGTGTGTTTGTGTGTGTGTGCACACGCTGAGAGGGTTTTGAAGCAGCAACAACCCAGTAGCAATGATTACACCCACCATCCTCATCTTGGTCTCTAAATATGATTTTCTAATAAAATAAATAGGACTCCTTTAGTAAATGGCTGATTCTAGGACTGGGGAGGAAATGTAGGGAAAATAGAGAAAAATATGGGCAAATGGAGCATCCTGTAATGCCAGGCAGTAAGAAAAGGGTAAAAGACACAAGGATGGGACATGTAAAAGAAATAAAGGAGCCCCCAATGGCCAAACAGTTTGAACAACAAATTAATAATGAAGCCAGCCCAGTGGTGTGCACCTGTAATCCCAGCTACATGGGAAGCTGAGGCAAAAGGATCACTTGAACCCACGACTTTGAGACTAATCTGGGCAACACGGTGAGACCCCATCTCAAAAAAAATGATAATTAAATGTATTGCAATTTAGCCCCCAAAATAAAATAGACATGAGTCCATACAGATATAATGATTGAATATATAAATAAATGTGGAGAGGAAAAAACACAAATATTCCTCTCAGAAGAATTCACAATACTTTCTGTAGCTACTTCTTGCTAGGAGGTGGCGTTAAACTCCACTCCATTCCCATTTGAGTGTAGGCTGGACTTAATGATTTTTTTAAGACTAGAATATGAAACGGGGGAAATAAAGCATCTTTGCCACAGAGGGGCCTGGCAAACCTGATGGCGCCCAGGTGATCACGGTGGCTCTCACCAGTGGTGAGCCACGTGGAGAGTGTGGTACGATGCATTGAGAATAGCACATCACTGCTGTGGTAGCCACCCAGGAAACCCATGTCTACATTCAGCCATAAGAAAAACATCAGGCAAAACCAGATTGAGGGATATTTAACAGGGTACCTGACCAGTACTCCTCAAAACTGTCAAGGTGGTCAAAAACAAGGCAAGACGAAGAAACTGTCACGGACTGGAAGAAACTAAAGACACGTAACAGATCATCACAGTGGGCCCAAGGCTGGACTCTGGAACAGTAAGAGGGTAATTGTAAAACTCAGTAAGTCTAGAGCTGTCACAGAGTAGTGCAACAATGCAGTTTGTTAGTTTTGGCAGTGTACCAGGGTGATGGAAAATTAACAATGGGAGGAAGAGTCACACGTAGATAGGAAATCTGTGCCATGTTTGAAGCTTTTCTGTAAATCTGAAATTATTCTAAAGCAATTTTTTTTTTCAGACAGAGTCTGGCTCTGTCACCCAGGCTGGAGTGCAGTGGCATGATCTCGGCTCATTGCAACTTCTACCTCCCAGGTTCAAGCAATTCTCCTGCCTCAGCCTCCTGAGTAGCTGGGATTACAAGTGCACACGACCACAGCTGACTAACTTGTATTTTTAGTAGAGATGAGGTTTCACCACGTTGGTCAGACTGGTCTGCAATTCCTAACCTCAAGTGATCCACCAGCCTCAGCCTCCCAGACTGCTGGGATTACAGGTGTGAGCCACTGTGCCCGGCTCTAAAGCAAATGTTTATTTAAAAAATAATTGGCTGTCACTTACCAGACACCTACTGGAATGGTCAA